AAGATTTGAATATAATACAACACAAACTTTTGTAGAGGATATAAAGTCAGAGAGATACATGCTTTATAATGACAAGGAGCAGGTGCATCTAGTACACGTAGAGCTGGTGCAAAAAACGAGAGAGCTCAGCGACTAACACCACAAATTTTTGGATCCTTTGCTCTTAGTTAGCGGTCAGCACAGTGGATGCCACCTCCATTGTGAAAAGACCTATATACTGCAAAGTGTGACTCACAGTAATGGTCCTGGGTCAGCCCTGACTTTGTGTGAAGGTAATACTAAAGTAATGGTATTTCTGACCACAGGTCAAGATGGCGCCTGTGTTTGGCTGTGCTGCTGCCTTCGTCCGTGTGTTTGTTTATTTTATATGCTATGCAAGTGTTTTTGTTGCAGTTTTTTCTGGTGTCACCTCCCTTCGGATTTATGATCGTCATGCGTTGCTAGCGATCAAATCTGCCATGGATAGCTTTCAGAGTCAACGAAATGAGGCTGTTTTCCTACCGCCGTTAGAGTGCAACGCAGCACCCGGTTTACCTCCACTCTTGCCGGTTAGCTCATTTTTGCTTCAGAGGCCTTGTTGAAGAAAGCAGAGGAAGCGAGCCGGCCTTCATGTCCTACTCCATCGTCTTCGGAAAGAGATGGACCTTCGGGGACTCTATTCCTGGGTTGCTACCGGTGAGATTCGCCTGAGACTTGTCGGAACTTGATTAATCCCCACAACCCACTATGTTTACCACCCAGGCTGTCATCTGAAAGCATGGAAAGCCAAGCCTGATCGCGGCAGGAACCCTGTTTTGCTGCGCGGCTTACCACATAGCGCGGACTCTGTATACCCTTGTCCCAGTGAGTCGCAGCCTTAAATGGATGTTAATTAATGCCTGCTCAATCGCCAATAAGTCTTATATTTTAAGAATGAAGTCTCACATCTGTGAGCTTTGTCCTGCTGACTGTTCATTTATCTGTGCACCTCGGCTATCTGGATGAGGAGGTGGAACAGCTGTAATTTTTAAAAAGACATTTTTATGCCAGATGGTTTCTTCAAGCTGCTACAACTCTTTTGAGATGCTTAAATAATAAAAATAAAATAAAAATAAAAATTGGAAGAGAAAAGCCCATATACGGCACTTTAATTTATCGTCCACCTGGGTCTGCTGCGTCTTTTTTGTCAGACCTACAAGAATTTTTAACTTCCACTATTAAAATGGGCGTGGTTATCATTGTTGGAGATTTCAACATTCATGTGGATGACTCAACAAACAGTAACACTAAGGAGTTCCTGAGCATTATGGACTCTTTCAACTTTGTTCAGCATGTAGCAGGGGCTACTCATACGGCTGGGCACACTCTGGACTTGGTCTTCACCTATGGTGTTTCCCTTGACCACTTGAATTTAAATGAAGTTGTCTCTTTTACTGTATCTGTTAATTCAGAGTACCATCCTCAAGGTTCTATTAGGCACAGGCGCTTTATTGACGACTCTATAATTTCTGAGTTTTCCTCTTTTTAATTTTAAAAGTTCTTCTAACGAGGTTGAGCTTTTAACTAATTCTTTTAATGAACACTGTCTTGCCATTCTAAATCAGGTTACTCCTTTTAAAACCAGTTATTGCTCTGTTAGTTTCCGCAAACCACGGTTAAATAATCAGACTCGTGGTCTTCGACGCTCCTATCGAAAAGCAGAGCGTCTGTGGAAGTCCACTGGTCTGATTGTCCATCGTGAGGACTTTAAAGAACTACTTTACCTATATAATGAGTCAGTCAAAGAGGCCAGATCCTCTTACTTCAATAATATTATAAATCGTCATAAAAATAATTCCAGAGTTCTATTTGATACCATCAACAGTATTGTTTCTCCTCCAACCCAGCATGCTCTGTTGCTTTCTGATGAAGATTGTAATACTTTCCTTAATTACTTCTTTGTTACACATTTCGATGTTTTTTTCCTCGCTACCTAGCCTGACCTGTCTCCACAATGTGATGTTTGTGTATTGTATGTACGGTCGGCAAGGTCTGTCATCTCGGTTGTGGGCAAAAGACCTGCAAGTGACAAATAAAGGCTATCTCATCATCTCATCTCATCTCACCATGATCATAGCTCCTCCTGAGCTACATTCTAAAATTAGTCAGGTTCTTGCCTCTTTCTGTCCATCTGTCAAGTCAAATATTCGAAATCTTGGCAATACAAAACGCAGCAGCCAGACTACTAACTTGTTCTACCAAACGTGTTCACATTACTCCCATCTTATATTCTTTACATTGGCTCCCAATAGAGTTTAGAATTCGCTTTAAAATTCTTGTTTTAACATACAGAGCACTAAATGGCCAGGCTCCAGATTATTTATCCAAGCTTCTTATAAAATACACTGCTGCTCGTCATCTCCGCTCACAGACTCAGAGTCTGTTGTAATACTGTTGTACGTACGTAACATAAAAATAAAGCCCTGTACACGACTGAAGACAAAAGGGGACAGAGCCTTTCAGTCTGTGGCACCAAGGCTGTGGAACAGTTTACCACTACAATTACGTTTGCTTGACTCTATGGATTCTTTTTCAAAGCAGTTAAAAACTTTTCTGTTCAAACAAGCCTTTTGTTGATCTACATATTTTATATTTTTTACATTATTTACATTTGATCTTTTACATTGTGTATAATGTCTATTGATTGTATTGTTTATTTTAATATTTGTGCACAGCGCTTTGTGACTGTCTGTGAAAAGTGCTTAATAAATAAATTTTACTTACTTACTTACTTACTTACACTGATACACCACAACTTATCCTTTCAACAGCTACTGAAAGTTAGGGGACCTAGCTTGTAAGAGTCTTATGGGATATTCACATAGAGATCCTCCAGCTTCAAACTGTATTACCCTTTTAGGACCTGAAGCTCAGTACAGCGCCACTCTGACAGCCAAACCCATATGTTCTCTGATTGGATTGTTAAATATGTGATTGACATGACATTGACCAATCAGATGAAAGGAAGAAAAATTTGGTCAAAATTTGTACTCGAAAGTTG